CAATACACAGAATTTCCATAGTCACTTTAACTTAAACACACGCTATAATTCACAACGATTCATGCACTTTACTTACGGTCACTACCGCTCGCTTGACTCAATTATATGTCTCTATATCTCTCTATCTGCTATTATATCTCCGCTTTATTTGCCAGGCTTATATACTAAAATTGAGGGTGCCTAGAAAAGACTAGAGTTGCCAGGAACAGTCACAATCCTTCTAGAAACTCATGATGTGTTACCAGTGTCATGTTACTTCCACTGTCATAACAGGAGCAAATGAATAAAAACTCTATAACCAGAGCACTTTATAAATGGGAATGCAGTTTGCCCTTGAAGAAGAAAGATCCACCTTTGAAAGTGCTCAAGTTATAGGGTTTTTATTCATTTCTTACAAGACTTCTTGAACCAACGTGTTTTTCTGACATCATGAATATTAGTGATTACTATTACTATGCATGAGCCTCATTAAGATCAGTGTATTGGAGAACCAAGAAGAAACAGCATCAACAGTTGTTCTAGAAACTGTAAATAACTTTCTAGACAGAAATTGAGAAATGTGATCTACCTTAAGAAAGAGACTATATGGTACTGAGTTTAGAACTCTGCAAATCTGGATCAGTCTTTCTCTAAATCCACATACACAGAGAATAATTTTGTGCAAAACTAATATTTCATGCAAATTTTAGGAATATTTGTCCATATTGATCAATACTGAACACACAGGTAAAACTGGCAAAATGTCACTCTCAACAAGTGACATTTCAAATTCTATTGTATAAAGCTCATTTTATAAATCAAACTTTCTCTTACCACTTAAAGGCAGGTTGTTTTCCTGGTTCAGGACTTGGTGTTTTACTTCCTAATAATTCATCTTCAAGCCCTTGAAACAAAACTTTGTCCTCTATACAAATAGGCAAAATTTCACATTTGTTAACTAGCATGCTCAGATCAATTTCATGATAAGACACATTAATACAAAAACAGTTTATAATATATATGTTACCAATCCCTTAGTATTTAATGTAATTAACCTTGCAAAACATCATTCAAGAAAAAATAAGGAAATCTTATAAATATGAAACTATTTAATACAAAGTTGTTTTTAATACTTTTGTTTTGAGTTTACTTATTGATTATAAGTAATTTTTTATTACAAGTTACAACTTTTACAGTAATGAAGAAAATCTTTAAAACAGAAACAACATTTTTATCACTGGTGCAATCATTCTCAAGTAAACAAGTACACAATTTCCATGTTTTAAATTATTTTCTACTTGTTCTTTCTGGAAGTTACTATATTGGAGATACTTATAACTTACTGCCAAACATCAGTTCAAACATTATTTGAGCTGTCAGTGTGCTACATTCCAAACATTGTGCAAAAATTATAAACTTGTAATGTTTTATTTCAATGTGAATATAATGCAGTTTACTGTAAATATACTAAGATGTTTTATTGTATTTAACACGTGAAGTTTACATTCTGCTTACACAAAATAAGTCATCCATGGCTTATGTTTTTTTATCTAAGATTCTCAAAATTCCAAAATCTGTTTCAAGGTTTAGATTCAAGTCAACTTAATCACTGATAGTCATTTGGGCTGCTTTGACTTTTTGGAAATTAAGCACTCTAAACTCACATATGAGAATGATTTTATGTCAACTGTCTATAAAACATTAAAATTCTGTAGTAATATGATATGTAGACATCATAAACAAATCTTTCTGTAACATAAGAATGTGTCTTTATTCACATCCTCTGTTTCAAAACTGAAGTACAGGTTTGTGTACTTAACTACAAATTCTGGACAAGCTGATTGTACCAAGCTTTGAACTTGCTTATCTTTCTTTGAAGCTCTTTCTGATGTTTGTAGGATTAAGCCCAGTATTCGTCTATTCTTGATGCTTATCCTGTTTGGCTACAAATGTTGCTGAGCAAGAAACAACACATTATCTATAATGTTAGTAATATCTGAAAATAATAAAGTCAAAAACTCTGATTTCCCCTTTTTGTTGATGAGGCTTGCTTGATGATATGGATGGCATAACATTCCAGGAAGTTTTAAATTAAACACAATCATAACTAAAGTTAGTTCTTTAAGCCTAGTTTTTGTCTAGTGAAGGTTGTCATCCTTTTTATAAAATATTGCCTTCTTGAGAATAAACTGTGTCAGCCTCTTTTACTGATAGTTGTTCAAATTTAATTATAACTCTGTACAGCAGCATAAAGGTTGCATTTAAGTGTACACTAACATAACACAGATCAAAGTTATTAAGACAGCTTTGATGCTATAAAGGGGATTTGTGTTTGGAGACTAAGTTTGATGAGCTTTTCTGCACTTCTTAGAACATTTATTACTGGAGTGTTATCTTATTGGAAGACCCATAACAGGCTTAGAGAAGTAATCTGCTGGAAGTTAGGTTTTCACCTTATAAATATTATTTTATTGGCACTTGTTAAAATAATAAATAAATAACACAACATTCAAACAGATACACAATCAAAAATATTTTTAAATTCAGTTCAACCTATGCCCTTTATAATGTTGACTCTACATGTTTCAATATTTACAATGTCTTCATCAGGAGTATAATGTTGACTCTACATGTTTCAATGTTTACAATGTCTTTATCAGGAATGATTTTATAAGATTGTCATATTTATTCCTTTTTAGCTAGTTCATTGGACCTGTGTGTAGGCTTACAATTTCTGCATAAATCTCACAGAAGGTCCCACCACATTCTTACACAGATATTTGCTAGATCTTCCTCTCTATTTATTTCAAGATTTTTTTTTAAACATTATTATTTCTAAAGATTCACAGATATTATTGGCTCTGGTTGAGCTAATGTTACTGTTTAATATCTTACGTTGTGTAATTTTTGTACATGTTCAGCTATGGTTGAATTTTCAGTCCTTTCATTTCTTACACACATCCCTCATTTTCTGTTCGGTGATATTTGGAGGGACAAAACATAAGTTAAAATGTTTTTCTGTATCTATTTTAATGTTGTATAATATTTATTATGCTCTCACTTCATACGTGAAATCCATGCATGAGTATGTTGGAAATTTATGACTGCTGGTTACTATTGAAGTGTAAGGATGCTATTATAAACTCCAATTGGGCATTTTTTACTGGAGTTCCAAATAGTTTCCAACCAGTTTCTGATTACCGATGACTAGCAGAGAATAAAAGATACTGTTAGGAGATAATGCCCACAAGCCAGAGCTACCTCCTCATTAAGTGAATCAACATGCAACTCAGAAAGAGGCTGTAGATAAGAACCTTTCTAACAGATCAGACAAGCTGCTGATATTACCAGGAGAGATCTGGAAATCAGAGATCATGCAGGACTGATTGAGGGCATGTGTGGAACTACAGTATGTTGCTCTGCAAAGTTAGGCATGAGCACCACATTACTCAAAATACTGGAGTTCCATTAAAGACTAACACCTCTACAGAAAGTGGAACCTTAGCATTATAAGTAAGTATCTGCCTGATATAGCTGGACTCAGAGACAGGAAATGCAATTCCTAATTCTTAGTCTGGATGGTCCAGTGCTTGATGTTTAAAGAACTTGAATGAGGTGCATCTTGACAAGTGGGATACAGTCAGTGTTTTGTTGTGCAGAAGGTTTGGATCTATGGATAATCAAGCCAAACATAGGAACAAACTCAAGGCTCCAAAGTGAAAAACCCAGGAAAACTTGGCATGCTTATGCAAATTATTTTCACTGCCTACATGAAAAAGTTTAGCCAAGTATGGTATTAGCTGCTTGTGCAGAGATTCATACAGAAGCTTGTAGAGGGTCCCCTGAGTGAGCGCTTGTAGCATCACAATAGTGGTAGGGGCATTCTGACTATGATATAAGCTTTTCCTGTGTTAACAAAGTTTAATGTGGTCACATTAAACAAAAAGAAGAAGAAACTCACAACTGTAGTTGCAGTGACTCAGCCTCCTCTTTAATACATATCTGAGATAACAACATCTAATTGAGCTCAAGATACTAAAGTACCATGAGAGATTATGGTGCAGACATTACTTCTGAGTGGGTATTCAGGGAGGCCAAGCCCTGTTACCATGACAATATTGCCACAGAAGTAGTTAGATCCTCTCAGGCAAGTATTCTTTACTGGATGAGAAACTTTTCACATCTTATTGTTCAACAAAAATAACAAAAGTGAATTTGTGAATAACTGGTAAATAACTGAAGAAAGATTTGCAATAAGAAGTGGTTGTTATTGCTCTGGCTGGTTTAAACTAGTGTTCCCCAAAACTTGGAACAAAGGTGTTCTGGCCAGCACAGCTTATCTAGGACTGGACAAAACTTGGTTCAGGCCTGTAAAAATGCACAGATGCAAGAATGGCTATTTTGATAAAAACTTGGTGTACCAGAATTTTGATGAAGAGTGTAAAAAGTGCTTCAAGTGAATCACTAAGGTGGCCAGTTGGCATTGATTTCATTCCAGTTAGAAGAGATAAGCCGAAAGTAAATGGAGAAGTACAACTTGTGTTTGTAAATTCTGTACATTTAATTAAGTTATTGTGAATTATCTATTGGTTTAATGTAAGTGGCTATTGTTTGGGACG